ACATTTTAATGATACTTAATTACTGGCTAATGCCTAAGGGTGGCTGTGTGCTACATAGAAAATCATGGCGACTGGGAGCATTGTGGCTGTCTTCATCGGTAACTAGCTTGGTGACTTAAAAGGTCTCTAACTTCTACTTGCCCCAGTTGATTCAGTTTTAAAATGTTGGTTTCGATGATTCTCAACATCTGTGGCTATCATTAGTTTTATCATGAACTCCAAGACATTCCAATTAAAGAGCAGCATAGGTTTCTTTTCTAAAGTTAATCGAATAAATATGAAATTAATAAAGATATGTTTCTTCAACAGTAATGTACTGTTGAAGTGTGTCAAAACTTGAAAGTTTGATTTCTAGGAAAAAAAACAAAGTAGGTAGCTGTAGTAGTGTGTTAGGGCTGCCATAATGGTACCACAAACTGGGTGGCTTAAACAATAGGAATCTGTTTTCTCACAGTTCTGAAGGCGAGAAGCCCAAAATCAAGGTGTTAGCAGGTTTAACTCTTTCTGAGGACTGAGAGGGAAGGATGTGTCCTAAGCCTCTCCTTTTGGCTTGTTGATGGCTGTCATCACATTCACATGGCATTCTCCCAGTAGCTATCTGTGTCCAAATTTCCCCTGCTTACAACACTAGCCATGTAAGATCAGGGCCCACCCTAATGACCTCACTGTAGCGTGATTGCGTCTGTAAAGACCCTATCTCCAAATAAAGCCATATTCTGAGGTACTTGGGATTAAGACTCCAACATATGAATGGGGGAGAGGGGGAGGAATACCATTCAATCCAGAACAGTAGCAATTAAATACCTTCTTATGGGCCTTCTCTGTGGGCAACAAAGAGAAAGTTTTTTGTCACTCCCATTCAGCTCCATCCCATGTTCATATCTCATTTACCTTCTCCCATATTTTTTACTTATCCAATTAAAAACATTCAAGTCAAAACAAACTTCATTTGATTCTCAAGGGTAAAAGTGAAATACCTTGTGATTTGGTATCATATGAAAGTTTGTCAGGTGGGTATCTGGAAAGTTGGACTTAAGAACGGCATAAGAGCTTTCTGATTTTATCCTGTGTCCAGGAAAGGAGAAAATGCCTATAAACTAGCCAGACAGATGGGCCTGCTCCCATCTTAAAATAAAAGCCAAAATCTGGCTACCGGGAAGCAGGGCCGGAACCTGGGAATGTCCTCAGGAGAACCATTGTAAAGATGCCGTTCCTTGATTCCGTTCCTCATACTCTTCCCTTTAACTATTTCCTCTTTTGAGCTCTAACTCCATATTGGGAAAACACTCTAGCAGCACCAAGCAGTGTAGGTATATATGTTCATGTCGAAGAGCCAATTCACTTTCTCCTTGGAGTTACAAAATCCAAATTCTAATCCCTGGTTAGAAACTACAACAGTGAAAGTGTAAGGAATTTAGAAGCAGGTATGCAGCACTTCAGCTTTTAAAGTAACCTTTTATTAAAGTGGGGCTCTGAAATAGCATTTACAGTTTAAGTAGATGGGGGTAGAGACATAAAAATAGAGAGGAAGAGCAAGAGAGTGGAAAATAAAGACCTGAGGAATTCTAAATGTAATAAAGGGGAAATGAAAAATATTCTGGTAGGAAGTTCCATAATAATTCATTTGAGGTATATGACCTTTATAGTATTCAGAAAAGCGTCAGCAATAGAAAACATAGTTTAAAAATATGTTTAGAAATCAGAAGTGTTTCATTTAAATAAAACTTTTTGGTGATTTTAGTAGTGATTTTGNAGGGAGCAGTGAAGCTGAGACTGTGGAGTTGGGATGGGGTGTACTTGGTGTATGTCAGGGGTAAGGGGGCGAGGCTAACTTTGAAGCGCGGCCTATCATCTTCTCAGAACGAGATCGACGAGCTGAGGACGGAGATGGACGAGATGAGGGACACTTTCTTCGAGGAGGATGCCTGTCAACTGCAGGAAATGCGCCACGAGTTGGAGAGAGCCAACAAAAACTGTCGGATCCTGCAGTACCGCCTCCGCAAAGCCGAGCGCAAAAGGCTCCGCTACGCGCAGACCGGGGAAATCGACGGGGAGCTGCTGCGCAGCCTGGAGCAGGACCTCAAGGTCTGCAGCGCTGGCGCTCTGGGCGGCGGGTGGGGACTGTGGTCCAGGGCTCTTTGTACTGAAAGGCAAAGAGCTTTTCGCAGCTCTGACCACACAAAATCAGCCCCAGAAGGAGACAGGGGAGAACAGACAGGTGGATCTGAAGAGTCTAGTGTGTGGAAGGCCTTGAGGAGTGTGAGCTCTGTGGACTCTCCTGGGAGTAATGGTGGCTCTTCCTGGCAGAAAACAAGGGTGTGGCAGAGCGCAGGCTCTGGCCTTGATCTGGCCTCTAGAATCTGTCTTCCCAGTAAAGGCCCGGTGGAATCCCGCACTCAAGAGCAGTGTGATGAGGACTCCTGCAGAGTAGAGGAAGCCCTGAATAGGAACAGCACTGGAAGGATACCCGAGTTGAGATTTCTCTCTGCCAAGTCCCTGCCCCCCACCCCGCCCTTCCCCCCCACCATCTTCCAGGACACCGTCTGTTCTGTACTTATCACTTCCATAACTCCCTGAAAGGAAAACTGCTACTTGAGACCCCCTTTGGAAGAAAAGGGAGAGTGAAGTAAATGAAAGAAACACTTCACATTCTTTTTTAGTGTGAAGTTGTTTCTTCAGAATCTCAGCCAGTGGAAAAATCTCAATTTTGAAATGCGTTTTTTAGACACGTGTGGTCTGTTTAATTCAGTTTGACTGTAAGCAGATTCGTTGACCGTGTAAACTAGATGTAATCTTTATGGCCTGGGACAACCAAACGGATATAATTTTATTTGTATTAACTTCAAGACATAAAAATCAAGTGGAATTATCCTATATTTGTCTTAAAGCGATGAAAAAACATTTTATGAAAGTCATTACATTATCTCTTTTTTCTTTTTTTAACCTTTGTTGAGTATTCACTATGCACCAGACACTGTGGCAAGGATTATTTCATATATTGTTACCTCATTTAGTTCCCAAGAGAAAGGAATAAGGTAGGGATTACTAATAGCATCATTTAACAGATGCCTAAGCCAAACCTTTCACAGAGGTCAAGTGTCCAGCCTCTCCAGCCCAGGAACTTGGCTAGTAAAGTAGCCAGGCTGGCTCCCCACCCAGCCTATAAACACAGCCTATGTCCTGAGCCACTACACTAGACTGCTCCTCTTTTCTTCCAAACCCTAAAATTTCCAAGATAATCTCAAAACAGGAGGCAAAAGTGCACACTGTTATTTTTTAAAAAACAATCTTAAGGACTAAAATGGCTCCTAAAGTTAAGCACCTGGAAATACAGAATCAAAATTCATTCCCCACACCCGACTTGTGAAAACCTTGTTTTCTTGTCTTTAAAATGGTGACTGTAGAAG